AGGAACGTGGGCTCAGAGCGGGAGAAGTGAAGGAAATGAAAAGCCTAACTAGTTCACAAGTGAGGCAGGAGTCAGTTGAGCCCAAGGAAATGTAACAGGAGCAAAGTTTTCCCCTAACACACTGCCCATGATTTAAGAAAACGGGGCTGGCCTCACAGCTAAAAATACAAAATATTACTGACCTCACTACCAGATATGTTGCAACTGAAGGAAATTGTTTAGTGTTTTGAGAATTACTTTCATTTACTTGCTAGCTGATAGTTATAAAGATTAGTACCACTCTCACATCTATATGCCAAACATGATTCTTAGCTTTTCCGTTAGCTTAACATTAGGACTAGAAACAGCTAACCTGGCTCATTTCAAAGGTACTACCAGAACTTTTAACTCTTCCATCTCAATTATTAATGCAAAACACTGCACTAAAAAGTCCTTGAACCACGTCACAAAACTGAACTTGTTTAGTGAGGTCAAGAGGGGCTGATGTAGGTTTTAGTTATCTCTGACTGAGGCTAAGAATGAACGCGTCCGAGCATGTTTCAGTTTGGCTAGCTACTGTAACTCAATTCAATTTTGAGCATTTTGTAGCCTATTTCCAGACAAAGGTTGGGGTTAACTCTTCACAGTTCTGGACACAGTCCATGGTCTTGTATCATTTGGTAATAGCTAATGTGACATCACTGGTGTGTGGACTAGCGCTTTGAAAGCTCAAGTTTGGTATTTTGGCCATCACCATCTTCGTAGCGACAATCTCAAGAAAGCCACCTAAAGCATACTATGCTTTATTTTATACTTAATCTAGATATAATCATAGTGTACTATGACTTTAAATTAAATGGTGGAGCTGCCACCCTGCTGGCTATTAGACATAATGCAGGTTTAAGGAACTTTCCGTTGGCTTCACCATTTAGAGGTAGAGGCCAAGTCCACTACTTTGAGTCTGTGGTCATAAAGTTTTTCCAGGGATGGTCTAGGGCAGTGGTTCCCAAACTGTTTGTGCCCAAGGCACACCAAAGGACAAGTACAAATCTCAAGGCACACCTATTGTGCAAAAATAGCCCTTATAACACGTGTTATCACTCATATCATGTAAAATATCTGTAAATGTGCATAATTATTGACTAATGCCAAATAAAATGTGACAAAGACAACTATATTACTCATGAAATATTTATTAACGAAATATTTCAGAAATGAATTTGAAACTTTATCAAATTAGGCTTCATCAAAGCAGCAACACACTCATTTAAACCAGACAGGTCACACAATTAACATTTCAGCAATCAGCATTGAAACATGTGCTATTGTAAATATTTTGCCGACTTACAAATGAGTGAGATACATGTGCCTGTCGGGGCGCGCAGAATTTTTTAATCCTTGGTGGCACTGAGGAGAGGGCCACTCGCAAGTCCTGTTCAACAGAGAGCCGTGACCTCCTGTTGTTCTTCATGTAAATCAGAGTAGAGAACGCCAATCCAGAGATGGGGTCATTACTAAAAAAATGTAATATATTACATATTACTTTAAAAAAAAGTAACATATTACACTACTTCGTTACTATCTACATAAAGTAACTCGTTACTTTAGTCGTTACTTTACTCGCCGAGCATGTACGAACTGCGCATGCGTGAGTGGCAATAACTCTCCTTACCAGCAGGCGGCGGTATTTGTCATTCAAAACAGGCAACAACCGGAAGACAGAGAAGAAGAACAGACTACGTGATATAAACAAACAACAAATAGCGTGTGCGGTAGCTTCACCTTAGCATGTGTTCTTTGCAGGTGTTTGTTGAGGTTTGACGTGGTGTTTCCAGCAGTGGATAACAGCTTCTGGCCTGGACACAGTTTGCACCTCACCGTCATATTCCTGTCTATTCTTCGGACGAACTCAAAGTAATGGGCATACCTCCACCCCTCGAGAGTTATCGCTGACTCAGCCATGTTTATGCAACACTGCATGTGGAGATGTGGACGCGCAAGTCGCGCAGATTACGTACATATAAACCTACAAAGTACTGATATAGTAAATTAAAAAATAATTATTTTTGTGTAGTTGTATATTACAATAATAACGTATGGTTGTCACAAAATCCCACGGCACACCCGGACTTGCCTCACGTCACACCGTTTGGGAACCACTGGTCTAGGGAATATGGGATATAATGGTGTTTGTTACCGGCTGATGAAAAAAAAACGACATAATGGCTTTACAACTTTGTAACTCAATGCGGTATGTGTGGAGTGAATCATCCAAGAAAAGTTATCTTCCAAGGCTGGATTTAAGTTTTTTTATGACATTTTGAAAGAGGATTTCTTATTTCTAACGATACTTGAAAGTTCCTTGGCCCTGTGTAATGTATAAAGTGAGTAAATTACATTCAAATGACTAAGCTACAGCATTCATGAAATCTTTTACTTTACCAAAACATTTTCCATTTTCCCACACACTTAGACAAAAATAAAGCTTGCAGAGTACTTTGCATGTGAGAACACTTATTTGGAACTGGGATATTTAAGTCTGTTGAATAAGCGTACCTAAAAGCAGTGTATGTTTCACTCGTTTTCAAATGACATAAAAAAATGTTGGCATGGAGCAACAGAAAAAACCCATTATATCTCGATAGCGGTGTGATAGTTCTCACTCTCGCTGTTTCTTTTGATGCTGCTGTCAACAACAACTGCTTACTGCGGCTCAATGTGCCAACCCGAGATAGAGCCGAGTGCACAGTGGAGCCGGCACGCTGTGCTGATAAGGAGGCGTCTCAGACAGGGCCACACAGAGATGAAATCTGAAGGGTTTGGCCTGCTGATAAACTGAGAACTTCATCATCTGCACTTTCATCCTCCTCCTGTCGTCACTGACCCACATCCATCTCCAGATTCCACAATTTATTGGTTTCTATTATGGTGTGCGGGAGGCATTAACAGGGGAATTAGTTTTGAGTGTGCTATTGTTGTGCTCCCTATCTCTGTTTCTTATCCTATATCTTATAGAACTGCTCGGGTCTTGATAGATTGAGTGGGGAAGTTCATGAGATCTTTCTAGAGGGTTATCAAGAATAACTTTTATCCAATGACCTTTTCCCTCTCTGTCTGTGTCTGTGTATTCTCTTGTTCCAATTAACCCAGCCAAATCTTTTTTTCTTGTTTTGTATCTATATCTACGCCGGGATCCGGAGTCGAGGCTGATCCTCTTGCTGTAGTCCTGTGTCTTGGATCCTCTATCCCGAGTTCTGGATTAAGTCGTGGACTTCGGGTCGTGGCTGAACCTGTCTCTGCGGTCCTGCCTTGGGTCTCGCCATGCTGCTTCCCTGATGGCTTCCACAGGATTGTAGCTGACATCCTCGTGGATTCATCTTCTTATTACAGACACATGCATTTCCTAACATTCTGTCTATATGCTGTAAAATGTATTATCTCTTCGATTTACACACGGCATCTATTGCACGTCTGTCCGTCCTGGGAGAGGGATCCCTCCTCTGATGCTCTCCGAGGTTTCTCCCATTTTTTCCCCTTAAACTGTGGGTTTTCTCTGGAAGATTTTCCTTGTACGATGTGAGGGTCTACGGAGGGTGTAGTTTTTCTCATACTGATATTCTGAACAATCTGTGCTGTTGTATTTGCTGTAAAGTGTCTCTACTGTAGGCTATTTTTATTTTATGTACAGCACTTTGGCTCGACCAAAAATCGTTTATAAATGTGCTATATAAATAAAACTTGATTTGATTTGCTATAGAAAGTGGATATAAGTTCCTTACAGTTTTCTTGGTTTCTTGTCCTCTCAAGAGCCCACAGAAAGTTTACTCCTCTGCATGGTAGCTCACCCTCACACGGCCTCCTCCCGTGTGAGCGTCAATTATTCATAAGCCTTGGGTAGCTAACTTGAAACCGATAACCCACACGCTATTTATACTTCATTTTAAATGAACAAATACTTAACTATGAAGTTCCAGGCAGCTTACTCGTGTCTGTTGGCAGAGCGGCTGCAGGGCATCTGTCCACGGGGGAGGAAGGCTGAACCAGCGGCTGCAAGGTGTGGGTGAGACTGTAAGGAAGAACTCGGAGGATACTGCACCACCTGTAACTGAAAAATGGATGTCCGATGCTAGTTTTTGTACAAAGGAATTCTGGCCCTGATGAAAAGTTTGAAGCTTCATTCATAATGTTAACAATTGGAATTTGAAATCCAAATTGTAATCCGTCTTGTTTAAACCGGGGTTTTCTACATTTAGACAGAACTAAATATTAAGCTCCACTTCTGTTTTTAGTATTATACTATTTGTAGAATTTGATTCCAGTGGTGCCTGACTCCTGTGATCCAAAATGTAACTGGTCTTCAGTCCAAAAAAAAAGGGTAAAAAGAATATTATTTATAAAAATTCTTTACATGTTCTTAACTGATGTGGGGATTTTACCCAAAATACCTGAATTAACGTGGCATTCTAGTTGCAATATAACAGCATATTCGATAAGACTGTTGCCTATGTGTATTTGTGTTAACTTATTTAATTTCAAGGGCAAACTCATTTAATATGATAAATCACTTTATTCAAATTGAGGATTTTGTTCCTAGAATTGTTTTTGTAGGGTGATAACAATTTGAGTGCTTCAAGTTGATATTTAAGTCTTTAAATCACTGGCAGTGCATAAAGCTGATAAGGAAATATTCATACCCCAAGTGGTGAAATGTAGGTCTCATTAATTTAACAGTATATTGCATTGTGTCATATCTGATTTTATAAAGTTATATTCTTTTTTGGAAATCACCCGAAGTTATTGCATTAAGATTTCGCAGCCAGTTGTCAATCAGTTTATGATCTAAGGGAGATGTCAGGTTGGAAACTTGGTAGGAGAAACTGCTTGTACTGTATGAGATTTGGTTTCACTGATCCACAACAATCAAACACACTCACACCCTAAACTCTAACCTAATCACACCCAACTCACTGCTAGGACACCAAAAGAAGTACACAGTAAAGAAAGAAAAGCCCAAGTCAATATTATATTATGGGCCAGTGTGGATTACACTTAACAGTTTTATTTGGAATATTAAGACAATGAAGCGTAAGCCAAGCACCAAGAGTGACAGCTACAAGTGTCGCATCATACGGCTCTTAAAAATGAACAGGTTATACTGGAAAACAACTGTATTTTTTTTCTCTTTGAATGGTGAAGCAGATACACGGAACAGACAGTGAAATGTGAAACATGATTATGCCATTTACACGCTTCAAATCCTACCTGACAGCAGAAGTAAAGAAAGAAAAAAAAGCAAGGAAAAGCAGAAGAAGAAATGGAACGGCGATACTCGTCTGACGACAGCTTGCTCGGCCTGTGGCAGTGGCTGCGGCCCGGGACTTTAGAGGAGGGCTCTTGTGATTGGTCAGAACGAATAAGGCGGTCTGGGAACACGGCGGTGCTGCGGAGTGACAACCATTAGTTCCCATCATTGTCAAGTCCTGTTGCCTCGGCACCCACATCCACACAGCAACCAATGTGCACGTACAGCATTAAAGTGACAGACGATTGCAACCATTGTTACACGATACTCCATTGCATATTAGGGAGAAGTAATAATGAAAATAATAATTCTTTCATACTAGTTTTTCTGTTTGCATATAGCACTTAACTGAGCTTTCCAAAATATATATGGGAACATGAAAAAAAAAAAAAAAAGTTTAAAATATCTTTTGTTTTGTTTGTCCTCTAAGGGCTGAAACCATGAGTCGTACCTAGGTGGTGGTGGTGGAGGAAGGGGGGTGGTTAAGGAGTCCTTCATGCGGGGGGTGTTGCTGTAGTTTAGTGGGACAGCTAGCGTCTCAAACCAGATCCACCCAGTGGTTTCTCGCCACAATTGAGGCTCTCATAGTGCAGCTAAATAGTGTCATACTAATGACAATATAAAGTCAAAATAGTTCACGGCAATTTCGTCTTTTTTCCTTGAGAACATAGAATATACACGTTAACACCAGTCTTTGCTCTCCCTTTTTTTTGGGGGGTGGTGGCGGGGAGTAACACAGAAAGGTGGTGCTGGCTAAATGTGGTCCATGTTATACACATTCCTGGCTTTAGGGGTGGGGTGGTGGGAGGGTGTGGATAGAGTGGTGCAGGAGTCTTAAAACTCAGAAATTAGTTAGCATTTTAGCATGTTTGGGTTCCCTCGTCTCAAACTTTTCTGTCTGTGGTTAACACAAGCTTAAGATATTTGCACATTTTGTTCAGCGATGTCAATAAAATTCCCCACTTGTGAATTTCTGAAGCTTCTATGCTTGGTGGCTGCTAACAAATGGCTAAATGGGACGACAAAACGAACAGTAGCCACCTTTAGCTTAGCGGTTGTGACACACGGCCAAATGTCCAGCCATAGTTTTTTTATAGCCTTAGGTAAGCCATTTCATTCTAGGGATTACATTTATACTTCAAATATAATACAAGTCTTGTTAATATGTAACGATTAACCTGCTGAACAAAGTGTGCAAGTATCATAAATGTGTGTTTAGCACAAATCTTAAATACTGCAATGGAAATATGTCATTGCTTTTGGTCGAGAGAGCTTGTGATGCCAGCTTCCGGGTTTGGCAAACAGAAAACATCATCACTACACCACTCTATACCGGGGGTAGTGCAGGTGTCAGAAGAAGTGTGATAGCAAATGTGTGCAAATGTTTTGTGTTCCAGACAGTTAATGCACCAAAGAAGATTAACACGTATTTTCAACCTATTAGATTACTCCATCATTCATCATACATACAATGTTTTTTTTCCTCCTCCTAAATCTACGGGTTATATGGCAAACATGTGCTACGGTTAATGTCAGATATTTCCCATGGGGAAAACTGGGTCGAGAGGGTCCTGGGACTCTCCTTGCAATGGGCCTGCCTGAGAATAAAAGGGGTTTTGGGGGGGGGGCAGAGAGGCTTTGTTCATAGGAGTCACTGTCATCACCCCTCACAGTCCACTCTGCATCCTCCCTCCACTGGAACCCTCCGCGTGGCTCTGTCCGTTACACTGATACACCCCCACACAACACATGGTGGAGAACACACCTCCGTCGCCACAATGCCTGAATATAAAGTGAAATATCTCAGGACCGCCGGCTCTTTGCTTAACACTCACACAAGTCTCGCCATTTTCAGCTAAAACACAGACAGTGCAGTCCATAAGAGATTTGGACAGTTGGACATTTTCAGTTTGGGCTCTGCAGTGCAGCATATTGGATTAGAATTGACAGCTAAAAATAAAGATTAAAGCGCCTTTTTGTGTTGTTTGAATGATTATAACCATCTTGGATGTATAAACCTCCACCCAAAAGTATTGTAAAGCAATGATCATTAACATACAGACAAGATGACCAATAAGGGGCCAAGACAGAATGTCAATGATTGGCCAAGTCACCTGACTTCAGTCCACCTGAGGATATTTTTGTATTTACCAAAACAAGTAAGACTGAAGAATAAAAGCCTTGCAGTAGGGCTGAACAATTCATTAGAATTGTATCGCATTTTCCATACGGACTATTGCAATGTCCGAATCCTGTCAAACTATATTCTACTACAATGCAAACATGAGCAGTCCCACTGATATGAATCATATGGCAATATCAGTTACAATAATTGAAGATTATAATTGGCAGAACACCACCATAGCAGACAAATACTACATATGATGACTTAAGTCTCTGATAGAGGTACATTTATACAGCAATGTGGATACAACTTATTTTAGTTTAGGTCCAATATGCCAGAGTAAAGAGCCAATACAATGAAACTCGTCACTGTCCGCACACTTCCAGACTGCACTGTAGAACACAATTACACGATTAAAGTGCTATTTACTTCAGCGAATCCCTAGCCTTCTCTGTAAGCCACAACAGGAAGCCATCTTTCCTCCTCCTTTATGTTAACATGGGGTCTGATAAAGACCCCCCCTCCACATCAGCACAGTGATGTGAGGGATGTGGCCAGATGGAGGGAGAGCAGTTGGATAGAATAATACAAATACAAAAGGCTTCCCTCAGCCACACAGCAGCCATAAGGCAACACAGAGTGGCCCTTTTAGTACCCGGTACATTTAACATGGTCAAATTAGCCTGTGAATATGCAAGGGGGGCAGGTCACTGTAAAGGATGCTATTGCTTTGCAGGAGCATGATGGACAGGTGAGAGTGAGCTAATGTGTGTGGGTTTTCATTTCTTCTACTCGACAGTGTGGATGCTAAAAAAATCCAGAAAGTGCACATACAAGCAAATGTCTACCTTATTCCCCTCCTCCGCTCAACACTCACTCCTGCCCCTCCTAACACAAACACACACACGATATTCAAGCTCTCTGAGAACAAAGTGCAGGGCAACGGGAAATGATCGGGACTCTTATGTGAAGAAATGTTCACAATGCAGGAGAGAACATTAAAATGGGTTAGGGAGAGATGAGAAACGTTAACCTACAGCAATTATCTTTTAGCACCTTCATAAAATGTGTCTTGTTTCCTGCCTGATTAACGAGTGAAAACACGTTAACGGTTTGGCGGGGGGAAGGTTTTTATTCTGCTTTAATTTCAGTGTGTAGGTGTGAGCTCGACAGGGCCAGGTTCGGAATAAATAAAAGCTGTGGAACATACTGTAGTGTGGAGCTAGCTTTCACTGGTTTGAAATACGACTAGTTATTACACATAGATGTGTAGCAAGAGCTTTGGTCACAGGCTCAGATATTCATGGGAAACATTTGTTCGTGATTCATCCTCACTGATGAGAACTACAATTCTCTAAAACACGGGCTGATGCGTACACACAAACTAAAACATTAACTAGTTTGAGAATTGATTTCAATGTGTGTTTGAGCTTTCATATTTTAGTTTAAACACACCACCTGGTGGCATTCTGTGATTATATTGGTTAAAAAACACGCCACAAGGGCTGCTGGTCTTCACCCATAGAAAACTAATCGTAAAGTAATTTAATTTCTTTTAAACTAAGTGATGTGTATTGTTTTTATTACAAGAGCTAGAACAAATACTATTTCTCAATGAGTTGAAACCTAATTGCTGACATCTTTCATAAGAGGTTGGATCAGATCTGTATGTCCAGATGTTGCAGATTAGACATGCATATCTTTCAATATGCTACAGTAGGGCTGGCATTGGACCCACTAACGAACTAATACTACGATAACGGGGAGAAAACGGCATGCTTGAGCGAGTGAAAACACATTGAACTAATGAACGAGTTATCGATTCAATAATCCGTCATAGCTTATCCAACATAGCACCGCTGAAATGTTATCAAAAACTTGAACGTGCACCATAAGTAAGTGAGCTTGGAGCTCATGCACCTTCTCATTGTTGTTCTCTTCAGTCCCTCCTGCTGCAGATTGGACTGCAAAGCAACTGATTATGGAATAAGATAAAGGGTTCTCTTAAAAAGGCACATAGGGTACACTTATTCTCCCCTCCGGATGAGAAGCAAATGAGCGGCTTGCCAGCAGCAGTGTTTTTGTCCCAAGTAACAACTAAAATCATTCAGATGACGTGACTAAAGCTCTGAGTAATGCCAACCTCTCCAGAGTCGAGTGTTAGCCTTTAGTGCTATTGCTATGACTATAATGCGACTGGGCAATAAGGGGGTTTGTTAGTGTCTAAACCTTATATATTAATAAAGTTGTAAAGTAGGGGACATTAAATCACCTCTTTCCTGTTAGTGACAGTGCTTTTCATAAAAACACAATTTAAAATGGTTTCATACAAGAAATATAAATTAAGTAGGAAAATGTAATGCAATCAAATCGTGGGTGTTTATGATTTCAACAAGCAGATTCTTGCGAAGTTTTCCCCAATGTATGACAATATGGTGTCCTCTCATGAGACAGCGTATTTCCAGACAAGCCTGAGCAGATCAATTCATCCATGTTTTCAAATCGAAACTCCATCTTTTTGTCTCACTTGCAGCTCATCACACGTGCTTTCAATTCCTGCGAAGACGTGTTAGTATTCCTTACTCTAACAAATGTTCAAAGCAACAGTGTTACAAGTGTCAAAGAGCTGGATTTCATACAAGATGAAATGAACTGTGCGCTCAGAGCTGAAGCATCTGTGGCTAATGAAGAATGAACGTAACAATGGTAATTGTTCAAAGGGACCGATGGGAGAACATATTTCGTTTTGAAAGCAATGCTGCACAGTGGGAATAAAGTTGATAAGTTCAGCTTGCTGACTAAATAGGACACAGTTGACGGATTCATCATTTACTATTACTGCCTTAGGAGGAAGTACTGTTTTTCAAAGGACTAATCTGTGTACTTAAAAGCACGTCATTTCCCTGATGTGCTGTCCTGAACCCATGGACCCTCTGAGAATCTGTCCCTGGCTTAGCTGATGCTCATTGTGTGCAAAGAGGTGGCAAAGAATGTGTCTTACGAAGCTCCATCCATGGGACAAGCTCTGACTGCAATAAATCAAAACCTCTCAACCCACACACCTTAAAACCCTGTCGGGAAGGTGCTACGCTAGGTGCTTTGACAAGCTAAGGAAGAAAACAAATGGAGAAATCAAAGTGAACTTTACAATGTAGCCATGTGGGCCTAAAGAGCAAATTGCGATGAGTAAGGGAGGCATGCAGGCAGGTCTACAGGCAGGGTGATGTTGTGGGATCAGGCAGACATTTAGCACAAAGCAGGAGAGCAAAGACACAAAGCACTGATATTTGTGCCTTCCCTCCCCGTCAAAACAACCTGTTCAACACAAAAACATGTGCTTGCCAGACAGCGTTATACTGAATATAATCATAGGTATTTTCTGTGATGTAAGTAATAACTAAAACAAAGATTAGAATGAATCTTGTATAGCTTGTTACATTTAAATCCCATCCCTCACCAGAGAGCCATGTTAATATAGCCTCTAATTGGCTGATGAAGAATTTCTTAAGTTCTGTAATCCTCCTGCAGTGTGTGTGTGTACAGGCAATGGAGAAGTCCACCCTATTTGACCTTGAGTTGCGGTTCCCTCTCCAGCCAGCGAACTCGTACTTTCTGTTTATAGTGATACTCCTTGAGAAAGTCCTGCAGGGCAGGGGGCAGCGGCAGAGAGCCTATACCATCGTAAGTGGTCCAGCGGCAGATGGCGGCTCGTGCCAGGTGCTGCAGGCCGAAGGGAAAGGTCCGATGGAGAGGCGCAGTAAGCAGCGGTTCGAAAAACATGCAGGCGCTGGGATCCTTGTAGTGTTCCAGCAGTCCTGTGACGGTGGAAGAGTGGAAAACACAAGGGTCGTGAGCGTCGAAGCTGAAGTTGTGGTTCCACTGCTCGATGCGGGCGTGCAGGGAGCGGTTGTAACGGCGGAAGCTAACGGAGAAGAGGTAGTCCTCCTGGGCGGAGTCTCGCAGCAGGAAGGTGCCCTCAGGCCGGCCGTCCAGCAGCGCCTCGGCCTCGTAGCGGTCCATCACGCCCCAGTAGCAGGGTAGAGCTGTGATCTGCATCAGGTCCGGCACCAGGCAGTGGATATAGTCTATCTGAGTGTGAACCTTCCAGGGCCCGGGTTGCTGCCGGCTCAGGTGACCGTCCCCAGAGGCGTGCCTCTGCTTGGGCCTCCTGGCCTGCAGACAGAGGGTGGTGGAATCCTCCTCTGAGTCACAGTCCTGAGCTGACACCGCAGCCCCCAACACCTGTGCACAGGCCCCCGATGATCCGGCGCCCGTAGAGCTGCCAGCCCCTGACGCCCGTCCCTCCCCAGAGGCCTCTCCGGTGCAAGGAGCCAACTTTGGTCCCAGTTTGTAGAGAGAGGAGCCCGGCACTGAGGCCTCCAGGGTGTGGATCTGTGCATTAGGTGGAGGGTCCACACCTTCCTCGATGCTAAGTCTTCGGCGCTCACGCAGGCGTTCCTCCTCGTCCTCGGGTGATGGGTGGGCGGGGTCAAAGGCATCCAGCAGGGCTGTGGAGGAATGCGGGCTGACCGGTGCTGTGTGTTGCTTGATCAAGTGCCACTTGTGAGCCAGGTCGGAGCCCGGTGGAAAGGGGCAGGTCTCCAGCATGAGCTCCGTCAGGTGGATCTTACGTTTGGAGGTGATGGGGTTCTTAGATGAGCGGGGGCGTCTGCGAGCGGGCAGTGGTAAGCACAGCCCGACGGTGTCACTGAGCCGCTGGCGCAGAGAGCGGGCGTTCAGACTACGTCCTCCGGATACGGAGTCGCTCATCTCCTGGATGGAGCTGACTCCATAGCGCCGGTCCCTGCGGCTCCCGCTCCCCCGCAGGCGCCCGGACCGCCTGTCCGTCTCCAGAGAGCTCTGGGTTTTGGTGGAACACGAGTGTTTTTTCTTGCCCCCCCATGGAGCATGACGGGAATATGAGTCTCTTCGGGCCAGGGGAACACCACCTGATCCCCCCCTCACATCCTCAGAGTCCTTGTCAATTGTAATCTCTACAATCTGAGGGATGTCCGACACACAGTTGTGATGGCGCCGTCCTGCTGTGACCATCGGCACTGGCAGGAGGCTCCGGGATGGGCTGGAGGATCCTGATGCCTCCGCCTCACCTGAGCTACCTCCAAGCTCCACCACACAGTGGACGCCATCGGCCTCCAGCCTGCTCTCACTGGGTCCTGAGCTGTTGTTGTGAAAGAGTGTCTGGCATCTGCTCTTCAGGTTGCTCCACATGTTGCCCACTTTCTTCATCAATAGGAGCCCCTCGGACCTGGAGATAACAGGAGACAGAACGGATTAAATCACAGGTGACGAAGACTCGAAACATTTAATACAGAGGGTCCTAAAGAATGTCCTCCATTTAAATCCCCCAGACTACTGTGTATCTAGTAATTTGACATGGTGAGTGTATAATGGGGCCAAAGTGTCTGAGAGGTGGGTGAGCTTGAGTAGTTGGAACAGCAGAGTTAGGAGTTGCCAGGCAGACATGCAGGGACACAAGGCCACGGCTATAAATGAACCCAGGATCTGCTGGTATGTACTGTATTACAGAGCCAGTCTAGACCCGACCAAAAACTTTCCCTGTGGCAGAAGCAGATAACGCAAACACACTTTTATACACCGCTGATTTATCACTCTACTAGCATGTTGACAGGGATTTGGAAGTAGCAGCACCAAACTGCGTTCAGATTTTGCAAATTTTTATAGGGAGCAAAGTCACCACAGGTCTGTAGAACACAAAACACTGGAGGAATCAAAAATGCAGCATTTCTTTCCCTAACTCAGACACTGTTTCTGGATTTATTGGGGTACAAATGCTAGAAAAACCCATATCACTGCATCAAATGATAAGATACTTGAATAACTTGCAAATATGCGAAATATCCAGGAACAATCACTTTGCAATATTTAAGTTTTAGCTATTATTACTTCCTTAAATAAGTTGCAATACTGCATTTGGACATTTATCACTTGAGTTGTAACTGATTAAATCAAACATTGGCTATATCCATCAGCACAAGCTGCACAATGTACAGTATTTGAAAGAAAATGCACTCAAATGCATTGAACATGTGAATCAGTAACCCGGTCAGCATTAATTGTGCTATTCAATGAACTAAAGGCACACAACAAAAGGATTGTGGACCCTCCGTCTCTTTCCCTCCCACTTCTTTTCTTTTCCATCTGCCTTTGGGCTAAAAGCAGCTATCTGACTTCCAGACATCTTGTTGATCTGCCTCAAGTTTGTCTCGTAACATTGACAAAAAGACACGATGTCTTTGCACCGTCAGCGCTGACAGACGGGGGTTCTTTGATGCACAGGAAACAAAGTGGTCTTTAGCACGTGGCAGATTAAGTGGAATTGCTGAAGGCAGTTCCAAGGCTATCACTAACAAACTCATGACGTCATTGTCATCCCCCATATTGACTGGCTTTGTACTCAAAACATATGACGTCGCTCCACTTGACAGACATGTTATGAAGTATGGGATACCACAAAATAACAGCCTGGGATACATCTTTTGATACGACAAATGTATCTTACATGACTCATGTTCTGTGGACATCTGCATAATAAGCATCGATAAGTGTTGCACATTGTCATATTCCTTAGACGTCCTCCTTATGCTCTCAGAAGTACTTTTCATCACCATTGGTTTGAAATGAACAAGTGATGTTAGACTTTAACAAATCAAATCAAATGCAAATTGAGAAAAACGCGTTAGGTGTTAAGAATCATTTCCCTGATGGATTCCATCCCACAGCAGTAGCATCTGTTTTGCTGCAAACTCGTTATAACAATAAGGTTGGCACAAAGTACAATCAATCAAATGAATTTGCAATAATTGATTCAAATGTGTTTTAAACTTTAAGTCTGCTATAAAAAATGAATCCCATGTCATCACTGCAACACCCACACACACCAACTTGCAAACTAACTCCCAAAATACTCTGCAGTTGATAAAGTGCTGCAAGCTGTGGCCAGGAGCAATTTTGCAAATAGATTTAATTACATTATGCTTATTAATTCGATTTTCAATGTCTGCATGAATGTCGGATTAATTAACTTGTATTTTAAATGCTGTTGTATACTATAATTATGTAGTTGGTATAGCTGATGCAATCAGAGATGAGATTCAGCCTACCCTAACTTGTTTTTGCATGGACAATCAAATAATTGATTCTGCAAATCCTTTTACATGTGGCATAACTACATTCAAAAGATGTTTATGATAATCGACCCCTACATGGTCAATGAAATAGTAGGATACTGAGCAATAGTGAAAGCTGCAGTCACCATGAACTGGTTAGATGCATGCAAGAGGAGCTGCCACCAGTTCACCTCATTAAGGTAAGCAACACCTTTTATTGTTCTATTCATGTTACATGTAAAACAACGCAGCACAGGGTCTGATTATAGCTCCTCACGTCATGGCAACAGAGTAAATTATGAACAAGCTAATGCTATTCAAGATGCTGCAAAACAATATTCAATAACCAATCAGACAATGAAACTACAATGAATTGGCAAGCTATTTTGATACTGGAATGTAAGGTTAATCAAATGTGTAACTGTGCTGATATTCTAGACTAGAACAATATGGCTAAAATCTGCCTAATTAAAACTAAAGCAGTTAATCTCTACCACAATACCACACGCTGCAGAGTAAGTGCAATGTTGACAACTCTTTATAAAATCATTTTGGCCTAACCGAGACAGGCAAGGGAAGGTTTCTTGCAAAAAGGATCAACATGGTTTAAAAATGTACTTGAACTATTTGTCCAGCCAATTTGATTTTGGAAAGCAAAACATGCAAACAAGTGTCCCTCATTTGTTAAAGTTATTGTTGGAGCACAAAGTCTTACCAGCCGCAACCTACATTTGCCAACACAAGAAGTGATTCCTAACTGCGAATATCAAAACACTGAACTATCTATCTAAAACGGCATCTGACACCCTGCTGTCTTTCCTCTGAGATGAACTGGAATTGTGAGGCTAACGTTATATCAGCTACATCTCGATAGGCCGGATTTTCCATCCGGGTTGCTGTGTTTTATCCCTCAGCTTGCTAATCGCCTCAAAAACACAAACAAGGAAAAGTTCCAGTGACCCAGACTAAGAGCTAATAGGGGGCAAGGTCTCTAAAACTTAAAAGGTGCTCAAGAAGGATTTTTTTCCAACAGTTTAACAATAAAACCATTACAAATAGGCAATAATGGAGGTCCCTGAACAGGAATACAAAAATAAAGTAGCATATCCTTAGCTACCACAAGCTGGATTATACCAGAATTACACAATAACAGTATTTATCAGACTGCTATGAGGATGTCCACTTTAGACACACACATGCATTAAGGCTTCACTGTCAACTGATAATAAAAAGAAAGAATTCAGACGATTAACCCTACAAGTGAGCAGAATGAAAGGCTTAAAGTAACATGAAAATTGGTCTATAGGAGTAAAAATGTAAGATGTCTCAAAACTCATTAACCAGTAATTTGTAAGAAAAATAAAACGCAAAATGACGGAAAATACAAGGGGTGCTTTCATATGAGTCTGGCGCTCCATTGAGACAATAGGCTTTAACGCAGCATTTTGTAGCGCTTAACATTTAATTAAATGTTAATGTCACTTTTTGTTAGCTTTACTGCATTTTGATCAGGTTGCACACTCTATAGGCGCGTTCACACCGCAGTACTTTTCCCACTTTAGTTCCGCTATAGTTCCGAAATGTTGCGTTCACACCAAAAAGAGCCGGAACTAAAATTAGTTCATGAGAACCTTTTCACCCCCTTTTCCGTCCCTGCTAGAGAGCAGGGACTTTCGTGGGAGAAAAAGGTTCCTATGTCTGATTGGCTGGGCGGATTGCAAACCACGCCCCGTAAAACTCCCAAAAGGTTTTGTGAAGCCGCCATTTTATTATCCTCGCATTAGCATTATTAGCATTAGCCCAGCGCAGAAAGCAGATAGACTAACTTATGGCAACACAAAATAAAACATGGGAGCGGTGGAGATGAGGAGGTGTCGGCGTTCTGGCGATTTACTCGGAAGGCTTCAGTAGAAGCCAGTCCCCAACTCCGGGGACTTCCGGCCGGGGACTTTGGGCGGCAGTATCAAGCCCCCAGGAAGTGCGCCGGAGTCTGATGAGAATATTCGTGCTGGCCAAACGGCGGTACTACACTTCATTTAGGTTGCTGGGCCCGGAAACACTTTTTCCCCATTGACTTACATTGGGAAAGAGTGGTCTGTAACTCGTTGGATAATTTTTTTTAAACTAAATAAACAACCCAGTATGAACACTTGTATAGCCCTTATTAAAAACATTCGTTCCTCAAGTTGTAAAAATGTGCTAATAACGTTATTGTGAGTTATTTCCCTCTGCATTATGAACGCGCATCTAACCCACGGGACCGCGCCGCCCGGCACGTTCATTTTACGTGTTCAGCACTACATGCGTTGTAAAATATTATACTACATGGGCTGTATGATGTAAATCTTGTACCGTAAATGTTGTATATAAAGTTAATATTACCGACGTTAGATTAACGTCCCTGTAGCTTATTATTGCACTAAGAAGTTTATTGCACTGTGTATATATATATATATATATATATATATATATATATATATACACAGTGCAATAATTATTTCATGCTAAATGAAGCTCTGTTGGAGATCACTAGATCCTGTTACAGCGTAACATAACGATTGATGTGTACATTAGCATAATTACTAGCTAGCCGCTAGCTGCTAACTGCCGCCTCGTTATCAAATCCATCATAATAACAAATCATTGCTGTCATGAACGCACGGTGCTGTTACGTGTACGCAAATTGACGTGCTTGATGTGAACGAGCATTTTGATTAAAGTTGCGCATGCTCTATGAGCGCACATACGGGTACTTCTCAGGCATGCCGGGTAATCTGTGACGTTTCACTCTCAAAAGTTGGGCCATTTTATCATCATGCGCTAATGAGCAACTCTCATAGGAATGAATGAGGTCCCGCCTCACACGCTGTATCCAGTTCTTATTATACATCCATGGGCAGTATACGCCGTGAAGTGGTTTGCGGCCTGCCAGTAAACCCAAAGAAGAAGAAGTGACGTCAGCGGCTTCATTTGCCTAATCCTCCCCCAGGGACTTATTCTGGTGTGAACGCGATCTGTACTTAGTTCATGAGAACTAAAGAGTTCTCATGAACTAAGTTCTCATGAACCTTTGTGGGAAAAGTACTGCGGTGTGAATGCGCCTTATGTGACGTCCAGCTGTTTTGAACACACAGCTTGTCTGCGATATGCGAAACGGGACACAAATGTTCTTAATGCTTAATCAATTAAAAGTTAGATGTTGAAATTCCTAAAAAAGGACTACTAACGGCTAAATACACTTCCAGAGTGTTGGTTAGCTAATCTGCTTTGTTGGCTGGAGTCCATTATTATTACAAATCAAGAAACAACTCCAAAACAGACTTTAATTGCAGTATGGTTGAAAACGCATACGTTCCCTACATGGTTGCATGTACTGTTTTGGTGCTTCACTCCAAAATGTAACTGTTATAATCAAGATTAAATCATTTTTGTTATGTTACCACCTGAAAGTTAAATTGTCTCCAGCAGGACACCAATGCATTTCATATTGCCAATTTCTGCCCTAGAATTAAATATTCTGATTAAATATGCTGTTGCCATGGATAACAATGGCCACACCAAAAAGTGCGATCCAGTCCACAACCACATAGAGCCGCCTTGAAACAGAACTAGGCTACTTCTGCTGTTCGGCAGCCCAACACACCCATTCTCCTGGGATCATACTGATCTGAGAGAGGGCTGTAGAGAAGACAAGATTAAGGGAGGACGCCTTCTCTGCTCAGACCAAACCAGAGTTAATGAGATACTTGCAGCGTTTTGCATGCTGAAAGATATGTGGGATGGTAGAAAGCAACACAGGGTATGTAAATGACAGATAAATCACAGTCTTACAGATTAGTCTTATAATTCGAATCACAGCAGCAACAACTTAAAAATAGACAAGTTACTGCAAACTTTTCTCTTCATCAGAATGCATTTTGAGTTAGAAAAAAATCTTACGTTCAGATAGAGGCAAAATATACACAGTAATACATATTTGTGCAACTAAATAACGCATTGTTAATGCCATGTTTTTTGTAATAATCATTACTCTGCACTTTATTAGTAATGTGCACTGAGTAATCATTTAAAAACAAATTCAAAATCAGGCAGAAAACTAAGTAAGTCAATTAAAATGAACTGAATAATATACCGTAACTTGGATTTTAAGACAAACGCTTTATGGAGTTCATGTTAACTAACGTTACATTAATCCATCCCTACCATAGCAAAACTGCCTTTGTAATAATTTGATGTATACAGATTGACGTGGACAGTAACATTTCATTATACTAACGTTTAACAGCATGCCATATTTTAGACATTAGCACCAGTTTAATGTCAATAAAAGGCAACACAACGACCGATCTGACGTTATTATATCTGGTTTATAGAAAGGCCTTTACGTTTCTTGAGGCCCCACTTTTCCCTGCTCTGAGCCAAGTTAGCGGACTTGCTAACACGTTAACCATCCACAGCAAATCCTAACACACCGCTAAATGTAGCCGCGACGATAACGTTAACTAGGCTCACATTTGCCATGTTTGCTTTTTGACTTCAGTCAAATATGATTATATTTTTTAGGGGAAAAAACGAAACTACCCTATGCTGGTTGGAAACACACATACAACTATCGTAGCTCTAAATCCAGACTGCTTCGCTAACTTGCGGTTCAGGCTTACAAGCTGTCAAAAATGCTAACTGTTAGCATTTCCTAGAATGGGAGATTCAAGCGTTTTAGTTAGCTTCGGCTAACCAACCAGCTAGCGAGGTTAGCATTTTAGCTTGTGAAAAAGCGACCCCAAAAAATACACAAATAATTCAAGCATTGCTGTAGTGCTTGAATATGCAGAGTAGCCAATGGTCGCATGTTTGACAAGTAGTGGTGTGTTTCTCGAATTCATATCTTACCCTTGTGCCGTTTGAAAGCCCTATTCAACAGCTCTCTTTGTCTGCAAAAAATGGCTATTAAGAGAAGTCAGGCATACATCCCCCTTGCGGACCACGGTGTCAGATGAAAGCACTGAAGGTACGCGAAAACTTGACGGTATCATCCCGATATTTTAAAATGAATTCGTTAAATACTAATCAAATATCTTTAAATATATATATTATTCTTTTGCTGCCGCGAAAACCCGTTCTTCGTCATGGTGGGGGTCTTCTTTTCTACCGTGGTCGCTGCTGCTGCTTCTAGCAGCCAATATGACGGCGGTCTAAGCAGACAGAGACCCGGAGAGGCGGACGGGGTTACGCGTGATGGAAACCGACAGACAGCGGCTCAGTCCAATGGAGTAAAGGGAAAAGTCGTCCATTTCCGACAGAGCATGCGGAAAGGGAATGCCCCGGTGCTGACTCCGCGTGATGGGCGTCTCGTGTCACCAATGAGCGAGAGAGGAGGATGTGGCTCTCCACTGGCAGCTACTTGGAAACGTGGAGAGGTGAAGTAATGCTAGTGGTGTTACAGCCAGGCCGGTGCTCTGTCTGTGTGCTTCCAAACGAGAGGTGCTACTTTGCGGTAAATACGATATAACAAAGTGTCAAAATATGTTGCTATAGTAGAAGTAGTGTAATATAAAAGTGGGGGATTTGAATATTGGTAATATTCTCTATAGAAATACTGAACATATGCTAATACAACACTCTATTCACACAGTGGACTTACATCTGTTTGTAATGTATTAATAATAAATATGAAGATACAGTAGGGGCCAGTAGGCTACTTACTGATGTCATCAGAGAGAGAGCCAGAAGCAATGCTCTGCATAGGAGTAACTGAGAATGCAGAATAAAGAAAATGCTGTTTAATTTGACTATTATTTTATTTACTAGAGATTCAAAAGTAAATAATTGTACTCTTATCACTCAATGGTCCCCCCGCCATATCAAATTACCCAAGGCTGGATAACCAATTGTCCTGAGGAAGGTCCGTGTTAATAGCATGATTTTGAAACCTTTGCTGTTTTTAGTTTTCGCTCCAATGTTTCATATTCCTGAAATACATTAAAATCCCAACATAGAAAAACTGTAGACACTGCAAAAGTAAGTGGGTTGAGAAGAAGAATTGGAGGATGAAACCCTCTTTATTTTGTCAGACATATTCAGTAGAGCACACACAGCACAATTGGACCTCTGCATTTAACCCATCCTAAAAGGAGCAGTGGGCAGCTATTGTATAGCGCGCGGGGAGTGGTGGTGGTGCCTTGCTCGAGGGCACTTCGGCAGTGACCAGGAGGTGAACTGGCAGCTACCAGTCCACACTGGTCCGATTGGGAGGAGAACTGGCAACCCTTAGGTTCAAATACCAAGTCCCTGCCGATTAAGCCAAGAGGGACCCATCAAGAAATGTTTTCCCCAAGGCCCCCTATATAGCTGGTTAATCAGGCCATGATCAAACCTGTACACTCTTATTACACAGTGCAGAACAAAGCTGTTTATAAATACAAAAAAGTAAAGAAGTGATAAATCCAGTTATTTGTAGAAATAGTAGGATGGTAAATCTAGTGTCCCACATATAGAAACCCTCTAAGTAAAACCCTTAGACTCTCTAAGAATAAGATGTGGCATTATCCAACCCGGTATCACGGCAAGACGTGAACATGTGAGGATTTACCATGCTGGGAGACGTGAAGATGTCACGATTTCGTCCCTTCAAACGTGACAGTTACACGGTATTGTTAACCCATGTTAACCAGTGGAGAAATACCCGGAAATGCCAAGCAAATGCTACCCCGACGGTCGGTTATTATTGTCAATATTAATATAATAATGATTTATTTTGTAATAGTCACACTCGATTATGCCAATTTTCTTGTTGCCCCAGCTGGTCGACACCTCTTTTAGCAGAAACAAAGGCTACATTAATGTATTAACAGTTTCGGTTCATGTTCATTTACAAACTCTTCAACTACAAGCAGTTATATTTAAAAACATGTTAGAAGGCCTCACGAAATACTTTTCTACTTCTCTTTGAAGAATCACATAACGGTTCGGCTGCATTAAATATTACATATAGGCCTAATAATAATTCCTTAAATTTATTATAGCGCTTTTCCAGATGCTCAAAGCGCTTTACAAATACACATTACACATATTTGTTATACATGCAATACCCACAGGAGCAAGTTCAGGTGAAGTGTCTTGCCCAAGGACACAACGGCTTTACAGACGCAGCAGCGGCGGGTTTCACCCCTTGATCTGATGATCATTGCACAGCGCACTGCGCCACACCGTCCATCTTCACGCCTCGAATTCATCGAGGCGCTTTTACAAGTACACATTGATATCATAAATGTACTGTGGACATTATCCACAGGAGAAAATCCGGGTGAAGTGTCTTGCCCAAGGACACAACGGCCTGACGCAGTGGCGGCAGGAGCGGGTTTCGAACTGGAGTTCCCCAGCACCCCCACTGCGCCACCCGTCCCTGCATATCTGCCGTAGTTCTCTATTTATAGAGCCCTGCTGAGAAGACTTCTAGACAAACATGAGGAACTGCCGCCAAAACTGAAAACGTGACGTGGATCAAAAATATATAAGCAATTAAACAACATCTTACATTTCTTTTCACACAATACCTCTCCTTGCAGTATCAACACTAATTTGGCTGACTTTTATATTTGATCCAATTGGTAGATAGGCTGTATTTACACCATAACGGTGCACAGCTGATAGAAAGGGACACCTGGTGGTTAAAGCACGTTATTGAATTTTATTATTTTTATTATTAGATATTAATAGGATCCCTATAAAGTATATTCATTACTCGTTATTCTAATCTCTACTAATAGTTAATTAAAGACTGTATAATGACTATTTTGCACATCCCTTTCAAGATTTCAAGATTTTCTAAGGTTTATTGACATATCATATACACAACTACTGTGTAGTTATGCAATGAATGAAAAACTTGGGTTGCAGGTTCCTCAACAGTGCATTACAAGACATCTATCAATATGTGTGTATACCTCCACCATTAAACTGTCATATTCTGCACATTTCTTATACTATCTATACATCTTATAAGAGTATAATATGTATAATATCAGTTAAAATAAGTGCTTAAACATAGTTAACATTGCAGGAAAGCAATATATTAGACGTTAAGTACTTTGTCAGGCTTAATATTTATCTGTAGATACAAATGTCACTGTGTGTGCTGTGTGCTCTGCATGTGTGACCATTAAAGAGGGTTTCATCCCTCCATATTCTTATTCTATACCCCCAAAGCTTTTTTCTTATTCAAAAGAAGACCTTAACCTAAAGTATTCTTTAATGTTTAAATTAAGCCTTATTCGTTTGTCTGTTTTACACACCCTCCTATTAATATCTTTTTTTATCTTAAAAACAAAGACCGTTATGGTGTAAATACAGCCTATCTACCAATTGGATCAAATATAAAAGTCAGCCGAATTAGTGTTGATACTGCAAGGAGACGTATTGTGTGAAAAGAAATGTAAGATGTTGTTTAATTGCTTATATATTTATGATCCACGTCACATCTTCAGTTTTGGCGGCAGTTCTCCTGTTTGTCTAGAAGTCTTCTCAGCAGGGCTCTATAAATAGAGAACTACGGCAGATATGTAATATTTAATGCAGCGAAACCGTGTATTACAATGCCGTTATGTGATGACTTTCAAAGAGAAAAGCAAGCACACTCGGAATAAAGTATTATTTTATTTAAAAAAAACGTTTTCGGATTTCACATCGCATAAACATCAAATCCCAGCGTGCATTGCGGCTAAACCATCCAATCATCGAGCTGAGGATCTTGCCTACGTCTGTTTCCGGTTTCGTTTATGACGGATGTATTTTGTTATACACACATTCCTTCCCATTTAAATTTAAATTTACATTAAAGTATTTCGTGAGGCCTTCTAACATGTTTTTAAATATAACTACGGTTGTAGTTGAAGAGTTTGTAAATTAACACAAACCGAAGCTGTTGCCTGGCAACGCAATCCCACAACGTCACGTCCGTTAATTCCACATCCACACACATGGATTAACATCGATTTAATACATTAATATAGCCTTTGTTTCTGCTAAAAGAGGTGTCGACCAGCTGGGGCAACAAGAAAATTGGCGTAATCGAGTGTGACTATTACAAAATAAATCATTATTATATTAATATTGACAATAACAACCGACCGTCGGGGTAGCATTTGCTTGGCATTTCCGGGTATTTCTCCACTGGTTAACATGGGTTGACAATACCGTGTAACTGTCACGTTTGAAGGGACGAAATCGTGACATCTTCACGTCTCCCAGCATGGTAAATCATCACATGTTCACGTCTTGCCGTGATACCGGGTTGTATATATCAAACCAGTAAATATGTGGCATAGCTAAAACCAAAATAAAAGCTTGGAACAATTAAAATGTCTCAAAGGAGCATTCATAGTCACTTGCACCCACACATGAGGTCATCTCCTGGAGTCTGATCCTTCGCGAGCACATGACACGAGGAGTAATGGGAAGAGGAAGTGGTGTGAGTAATGTAGTAGTTAGCTGGAGCTGAGGGTGAGTTCAGGGGGAAATCACCAGCAGTCCGAACACATTAGCTTTTACATCTCAGAGCTTCTGATCTAATTTGTGCTGATGAGAGGAAATGAGAGAGAATTGCATTAGCACTGATTCTTCTGCCAGGAGTGATTCACACTATTTTAGTCAACATGGACCTCTACCACTAAATATATGCTGCGTCATCTGCAAACAATGCACAATGAGGATATGATAACTTACTACCGTGGTGGCAATGAGGTGACTGAGTGTGATCTCTGAAAGACAAAGGTCTGATGACAATATCAGATCAGTACTGCCATACACTACCGACACATTATCCTCGCTAATGCAGCTTTTATCTCAACTACAGTTTAAGGAAATCATCCTGGTAAGTGATTTTAACTGGGACTGGCTTTCACCAGTGTCTGATGATTTTAAAGCTCATTGTATGTCTCTACATTTTACACAATTAATTGAAAGTCCTACTCGTCTTAACACCAGGTGTCTAAATAAATCATCTCTTATCGATCTTTTAATTACTAATCAACCCCATAAATATACTGCAACCGGGGTCTTTGCTAAGTGATCATTGTCTAGTTGGTGCTATTAGGGATACCAAAATCCCCCGTACCAAACCCTGTGTTGTTCTGAAAAGAAATGTTAAGCACTTTATAGAGCAAGCCTTTCTTCATGACTTAGTTCATTTCAAATGGGATCGTATTTTATTGATTGGTGATGTTGACCATGCTTGGAAGTATTTTTATGACAGTTTTAGTTATTTTTTAGATAAACATACTCCGTTTCGCCGGTTCAGTGTGAAGGGC